CTTATTACAGTGCATTACAGTGCATAAGGAGCATGCACCGATTACAGTGCTTTACAGTGCATAAGAAGCATTCACCAATTACAGTGCGTTACCTTACCTGTTTATATATAGGGTGCACAAAATAACACGGAGATGGATTTTAATATTCAGGAAGCTACATCACACTTGCAAACTTGTTCAAAGTCCAAGTCAAAGGTGCATCTGTCACAAGCACCATTAAATTATTCAATGTGTAATGAGAAAGAACCTCAAAATCACCACAACATGTGTCAAACATGGACAAACAACATCAGCAAAGAGCAACTGTAGTGACACGTCGAAGGTCACTGTCAGGGATGGATGGACCCTCGTCAAGATAGTACCAGAAAAGTAGAACCTTAAAAATGACCACAGATCAGTGCTATGGTGCAGATGCTCTATCTGCACAATGTTCTCATATTCTGAGATAATTCCAAGCTCACAGGAGTTTTACTTCCACAAAAATGTTCTGAGGGCAAAACGAAAAATGATTGGTTCAGAGAGATAACCTATCAGATTGTAGAGGAAGCGTGTATAAGCAACTAGTGGATGTGGGACCAAGATATTTGATTGGTCAGTCCCGCCTCCTCTAGTTGGTTGGATCCAACTCCTCTACAGTGATGGGTTATCTCTCTGAACCAATCATTTTTCATTCTGCCCTCAGAAAAAGTCTGTAAGTAAAACTCCCATGAAGAAATTCTCTTGGTTTCATGACGTCAAACGCCCTCCATGACCTCCTCAGTCACCGGAACATCACTGACCTTACAGACTATTCTGCAGGCAAGGGGTGGCCCTACTGCTTATTAGATCTGTGACCCCCCCCCCCCCCCCATATATGTACACACGTACTTAGCGTGCCCCGCAGCTCACCTTCCACCGATGCATGCTGCTTGTGTTCCTCACCGCCCTTCCTCCATTCCTCTTTCTCTCGCTCCTTCTCTTTCTGCTTCCTGGATTTCCTCCTCTTGTGCTGCTGGGAGCTGCCAGAAGGGTTATGTCCCCCCGGCTCGATCCCAAGGCTCTCTGGACGAGGCTCGGCTTGGCCGGGCGGGGGGCTGCTGGAGTGGGCGGGGCCTCTGTGGCCCCCAGCGGCCTGTGGGTCGCCGGACAGATGCCGAAGACGGAAACTCTGCTCCAGGACTCTGGACTTCTTGTGAGCCTGGTTCTCCAGCGAGTTGGACGGCACTGGGCGTTTCTGAGCAGGAATCGGAAAAAAAACGTCGGCTATAACACACAGGATTCAGGTGTGATTCACTAGCTGTCATGGCACCCGAATCCTGGAGTCACTCATTATTTTACACCCCCTTTTTTGCTATTTACCGATTCATTTATACATTTCCTAAGGACTATAACAGTGACAGGCAAACTCTGAAGAATCTGCAGTACAAGTGATTAGATTAGAAGCAGCAAAGCAATCTTCAGTGTGCCAGGCAGGCAGAGCAGGCAAAAAGATTGTGGTAAATGGCAGTAATTTACCACGGCTGGACTCTTGACAGGACTGAGATGAGAAGGAGATTCTCCTAAGCTTCTTGGGAATGGAGCATTTGACTGAAAGCTCTTTGACTGGCTGCTGCTGACTGCTGGCTGCAATTTCCTGGAAAATCAGAGAGGAAAGGCATTCATGTTGCCACGTGAACCGACAGCTGGCTGATCTGTGTCTCAGGTCCTGTGCCAGTACCCTGCTGGTAAGAAGGTGTCATTACACCAGAGAAAACCACAGCCTATCCCTACACACACACACACACACACACACACAGTGAAGCAGGCAGTGAAGCAGGCAGTGGGGACACAAGTCATGCCATGGATGCGGGCTTCTCCTGCGTCCCAAGCGGAGCCCCGCAGTAAACAATGGGGCCAGAGGTTGCCCCCCATGTGCAGCGCTGCCTATCTCCTTCCTGCAGGCCCTTCCTCAGATACACTGCAGTTTTATCGAGAAGGGAAATCGCTTATTTTATGACCTACATTCCCCCTCTGTGCTGCTGCATCCAAGCCTTTTTAGCTGCTGGACATTCCTGACGAACTGAAAACTGCCAGCAGAAATGAAACATGGAAGCCTTATAAAAGTCACTCCTGACCCGGTTCTGTCAATGGCCAGTGTTAGATACTCTGCTTTTGTCTGTGTCCTGATCTGGCCACAGCTCTGATTGTTGGACCTCCACGTTTCTGTCCATGTATGTTTGAACTGGAAGGCCTATCCGTACATGAATGCCACTTTATTCATTTAAAATCTGGGTCCGTGACGTATGTGGAAAGATGAGAGGAAGTCGTAAATTGCAAGCAAGCCGGCATTATGCGCACTGCTGAAAGTTTACAGTGTTTGTATTTAAAAGAAGTGATGACAAGAACAATTACAGATGATTCCTTTGAAAGTATGCAGCCAACGAGGTATTGATTGGTTTGCATATGTTTTCCTGTGACCTTTCTCATACCTCACACATACAATTCCTGGAAAGGTGACCTTGCAGGTGTGCAGCATTTGTGGAACTGGAGAAATGGAGCCTACTGCCGCTTTCTTTCAGAACAACCAGGAAGTTATGTGAAGCATGAGCGTGTTTCTGGTGTGAAATTGTGGTCAAAGGGTGATCCCAGGGGGAAGAAAGTAACGACCCTGCCATAAACCCCACAACCTGCTGGGAAAACAAGATCCCTGACAATGACGTGATGGGACTGACATGCTCAGAATAAATGTAAAATACACAGGTTATTGATAGAAACCATTTCTATATGGAGCTGATCATGCAGTGCTCCGGTCATGCCGTGATCCTGTAATGCAATGATCCAGTCATCACATGATCCCGCAATGCAGTGATCTATTCATGCAAGAATATGGTGACGCCATGATCTAGTGATGCAGTAATCTAGTAATGCAGTGATCCGATCATGCCGTGATCTGATGATGTCGTGATCTGGTAATGCAGTGATCCAGACATAGCGTGATCTGGTTATGCCCACCTTGCCAGCAGCTTGTAAACAAACCGCCTCTCTTCCTCTTGGTAGCCGGGCCAGTCCCTCTGAACAAGCGGGTATATGTCATCCTTCAGCGTGAAACTCTGATCCCTGGGATTCTGCTTAGCGACCTGATGGGACCAGAGCGCGTCACTGTCTTCACCTGCTACAGAACTACACCCTCGGCGTGTCTTATATCTGTGCAATATTACTTCATCTTGGAGGCAGTGTCCTGAGACAGAGTAGCACACCCCCTACCTGATGGTCTCAATCATCCAGAATTCATATTGTTGTTAGCAAATGCTTAGTGTTTCCTGGCTGTGGGTGTGAGCACCTTCCCATGGCTGCTCCTACCTCCTCCAGAAGGGGGGTCAGCTCGGCCTTCTCCCTGGGGCTGGCCCTCTCCCGCTCCAGCCACAGAAGCAGGTCCGGCTTCCTGTAAGGCTTCAAGGCGAGCAGGTGTATGAGGCGCTCCCGCAGGGGCCTGTGTACCGTCACGCCCGCGCTTCCAGCGGGGCAGCTCCTCTTATAGGTGGGGGAGTGCTTGCTGAGGCCGTCCGGGCCTGGAGCCTGGCCTGCCTTCTTCTGAACCTTTACACATTTGCCTGAAAACAGGAGCACAAACACCGTAACTGTCACTCTTCGAACCCTCTTGGAAAACTAAACTACCATCAGAGAGACCATCAGTCAGATAAGCAGAAGAATGTACTGCAGGTCATTTGGAGACAGCGAGGAGCCGGGGGGTGGGACTTACAGTAGGAGGTCCTTAGCTGGCCAAGCAAAATGCCCACACAGAATTAGTGTCGGTAATGCAGTGAAAGACCGGCAGCATGTGAGAGAGCCTGCGACTTCCTAAAGACTTGGAGAACCAGAGTTCTTAGCTTATAGGCTGAAGGTATGTGCCTGTAGGAACCGGGATAACACAGCCACAGGTCTCCTGAACACAAACATCCCTTGAACACACAGGCAACGCTGCTGAGAGCAGCACAGAAGGACACAAAGGCCGAATATTCGCGTCTTTAAAAAGCTGCTAGTTACTTCTGTGCCAAAGTGGTTTATCAACAGCTGGAGCTGCAGGAACACATTGCATACACAGTACAGGAGCGTCAACATTTTTTAATGATTTGTAAGTGTTTGTTCAGTCATTCACTCTGTCTTTTGGAATAAGGAGCAGGGTTACCTGCACAGACAGTGCACAGAGACAGCTGCGACCTGACTGCAGGGTAGAGTCTGGCAAACAGAGCCAGCCAAGGCTCTCAGTGCAGCTGAGTGAAGTGAAAATGTGCAAGTTTCACTTACATCTGTAATATTCATAACTTACTAAATCACTGTAAAAGTGTGAAGTAATTTCTAAGGGATCTTAAAATAGAGGATGAAGCGAGATTTGGCTCCATTTATGAAAGTTGGGCTTGTTTTGTTGCGAATCCCTTAAGGCAAAACTAAATTAACACCGATACAATTTTCATTAAGTCTGTCCCCATGGGACAGGATGGTAACAGATCACACCTCTTTCAGACTGACACACAAATTGGGTCTGAAGCCTCTGGTTCACTGCAGGCAAGCGAGCACACAGCTTCTGGGCATGTCAAGACATCCAGGCCAAACAAAGAAACATTTAACAGTGCATTTCTATTCCAAACATTTCTAAAACTAGTAGAGGCAGAAGGAGTTTGTTTCCTGACAGCTGCATGATTGAGCATGTTGCACATTTTAGAGAGTCTTACTGTGTTACAATTGCCCGGTGCTTCTTAACCCTCAGACTGCTGTTAAACATATTATGCTGCATGTAAGTTGGTGTGAAATCAAACAGGGTAACGTGCTGGGCTTGCAAATCCAAAAAGCATAACCTGTTATGTAAGCAGGCCTCGTGCGTCATGAAAAGGCTGAGCACTTTAGACACCATTCTGCTATTTTTATAATTCTCAAGAGCTTCGACAACGCATAAACCATCTTATCAATTAAGTTTTATGGACAGTTAAACTACCCCCTCCTTCTGCTGCTAGCAAACATGGCATCAGGATGAGAGACAGGGGGTGTTTCTCAAATACCAAGAACACAAAGATTGTACTTGAGGTCTTGGCAAAGACCAGTCTTGCTAATTTCCCTACCAAGAACGAACTTGGGGCGCAATGAATCATGAATCATGAATCATGAAGGGTGCAACGATGCATCCTTGATATTTGGGACAGGACAAAAACGACATCCAGGGATTATTACCATCCTCTGTACTTCTGATCTTAGTTTTGGAACTGGTCTTCGGCAATGGGAGATGACGTAAAACGGGCACGCGAGACCACAAGTTTGGTCAAGTACATGTATTGAGAAACACTCTGGGACAGGTAAGCAGGAAGTGTGCAAGAAGGAAGGGTAGCAGAAGCTTAGCAAAGGCTGCTGGGAGTGTTACGCACAGCATGACCTCATAGCTTCAGCTAGGAAACGAAGTCAAATGCGAGCAGGTCTTGTGACAAGCGAGGTGTGATCCAGCAGAGAGTTACCTTGATAAGGAGGCCCTGGCTTGATCTCGATGGCCGACCGGCCCAGGATGTCCTTCTCCACCTGTGACATGCGCTCCCGTGTCACCTTGTAGGAGTCGTCGGTGGCGCACACTGTGATCTTGTCCTGCATGCTGCCCTGGCACTCCAGCTCTTCTCGGCCGTCGCTGTGGAATGAAGAGGAGGGTGAGGAGGAGAATGTGAATAAGATGGGGTGAGGAAGTGCAGGGAAGAAGATTGAGGAGAAGACAAAGAGTGATGAGAGACAGAATAGTGAGGAAGAGGAGGAGAAAAATGAACAAAAACTTGAAGGTGATACAAAGAAGCTTCCATGACACCGCAGACTGACTTATATTATATTATAATGGCCAGACTCTGAAATACTGGAAATTGTGCCTCAATTCAGAAGATTTATTATCTGTTATCCTGTTGCACATTAAATGGTTTTTGTTCATACAACATAAGTACTGAAAAACAGGCAATTAACAGAGCCCACCTACACTACAGCTCTCTACTGAAAAGCCACAAACACCTACATGTCGTTTTAAAAAGAAAGATACGGTCATGTTTCTAGAAAATTCGAGTGCTCTGTGACACTGCCACGCACGTCACATTCAAGTCGGTAGCAAACAGCCGACTGGGTGAATGATTTGAGAGGAACATCAGAGAACCTCCAAGCTCAGATCTTCATCCTGGATCAAGATCTAATTAAGCAATTTCAGCTTGAAATAGCTCCAGAAATGCGGGAAATTCCAGACAAAGGCTGCATTTACTAATATGACATGGAGATACTGAGCAACAGAGCGACGGATCTGTGTTCATTGTTGTTCTGCTTCCTGTAAGAGGATCTCAGAGGTGAGGGAGAGACTCCACTGCTGCTTTGACTGTTCACATGCTTCCTCAGGCAGGACGGCAGAGCCCAGGGTTTCGCTGAGCCACCTTGCATCAAACCAGCCCACTCGCCGTTAACCCCATGTGCGCCGCTGACGACCTAGAGGACTTCCTGCTTCAACACAGGAAGTGGTGCGGCCCAAGACCCAAACAAGACCCGCGATACTATCACTGTAACACACAGAGCAAACCTTTCAGAGTGTGACACAAGCACATTATAGTCTTATTGCCCTCAGCCATACTCTGGTTAGTCTTTCAGCTCATTTGGTGTGGAAAAATAAATAATAACGAAGATTTGAGAGCCTGTAAAAGTGGCAGGAGTCAGAGAAAGCTGGGCTGAACACAGCGGGGCCTATTCATGGTCACTGTAGCACCTACTGTAAAGTCTAAACGCCATTCAGTCTATGAGGCAACTGCCCTGGGCTCAAACATCCCAGTTCCTGACTTTCCCTTTAAGCTCCTATTGACAATTATAGCTGCTTACAGGCCCAGTAAATGGGAGATGGAAAAGTCCAGATATTAAAGGGGAAGACAAACATGGGCAGGAAACTGTACCATCTGCAGATACTGCCAACATCCGAGCCTTAATCTTGGCAGTAGATGGACATAAGAGGAAGCAAATGACGATCAAACATGGATCTTCCCAGCGTTTATAACCTGTGACCATCCATCAGCTGCAGCAACCGCGCACTTTGTCCCGCATCAATGGAACTAACAAGTAATAATAAAAATCACAGTGTGACCTGTCCAGAACATCCCACGGTGGCCCCTCATTTCAGGCCGTAATCCTCTTTTATGGCTCCAGGGCCCTGTTCCTCTAACTACTCCCCAGCAGCGAGGCCTGAAACGTCGTGTCAGATTGTCAAATAATAAAGGAGGCACCTTAATGAGCAAAGCAAATGTAACTGGACACAGGGCTCCACAGGTACTAAGCAATTTTCATTTTGTTCAGAGGCCTGAGCTCTGCTGGATGAAGTCAAAAAGAACAGTTTAACTGTCCACAGTCTGTTCAAGATTGTGTGTCTTGTACAATCTTTACTCAAACTATCTTAGAAGATGAGTCTGCAGCCCTTCTTATGACAGAAAACATAGAAATGGCTGATTAAGGACAGTTCAGTGAGTGTGTTGTGTGGTTCGAAAGGGTGTTATTACAGCTAAACTCCCCCAGACTGACTGATTCGCAGCCTGACTGACAAACGCACTTACCTGGATACATACTGCTGGATGCAGTCCAAGCTCGCCTGGGGCTTGTCTTTGCTGTCGCTGGACAGAGAGAAGGAGAAAACGCGCAGTGCTTCCTGGGAATCAGGGGACAGGGCAGGGATCTTGATGTACTGTTGGAAAAACAGGCAAATTCCCAAATTTAATGCCTAACAGGCTTGAAGAGCCTTTTGTTAAATCCTATTTGCTCTGGTGCCAGAATAATGACTAGATCAGTCTCAGACTGGTGACTCTAAGCAGAATTTGGGAATCATCGTCAGCATCCTCTGTCATCACTGCCTGATGTCTGAATCATCCTCAGAATCCTCAGTCATCACTGTCTGCTGTCTGAATCGTCAGCATCCTCTGTCATCACTGGCTGATGTCTGAATCATCTTCAGAATCCTCAGTCATCACTGTCTGCTGTCTGAATCATCGTCAGCATCCCCTGTCATCACTGCCTGATGTCTGAATCATCCTCAGAATCCTCAGTCATCACTGTCTGCTGTCTGAATCATCGTCAGCATCCCCTGTCATCACTGCCTGATGTCTGAATCATCCTCAGAATCCTCTGTCATCACTGCCTGATGTCTGAATCATCGTCAGCATCCTCTGTCATCACTGCCTGATGTCTTAATCATCTTCAGCACCCCCTGTCATCAC